GATCCGTATTTTTTGGATGGACATCTCACTAGAAGAAAATATGTGAGACTTCTTCGGCATGAGTTTCGGCATCATTTCAATCACAAATGGATAGGCAGGGGTGGGCTGTGGCGTGGCCACCCATATCACATGACCTATCCAAAATGGAGTTTTTGATGGGGATATATCAAATGGATTGTCTACCAAACTCCACCAACATCTACAGCAGGCATGAAACTATGAATCACTAGAGCTTTCAGGGAAATCCCAGAGGATATGCTGGAACGTGTAGAGAATTCGTTTGAAAAAAAGCTGATATAATGTTTTGCAGAAAATGGTCGCCATAGTGATCATCCTGTGGATTCCTCTATTCAATAAAAAATTGTGGCGTTATTTTCTGTGGTTACAACAACTAATAAAACTAGGTCCAATTTGAAGAATATATGTTTTTCGTATAGTATACCTCTGATAAAAAATGTAGTGAAATGTTGTTTCATTTCATAAAAATGAAAGAATACAAGGTGTTCCGTTTGAAAAAGTTGAATCATGTTTGTTTGGAAATGAATGAAACTTGACCGGTTTTACCGATCACCCTACCTGTATCTGTATCTGTAGAGTAGGGAGGATGAGTGAAGACCCACAGCATTTAGACACATGTGACCCATTGTACATCCTCCCGAAGAGTTGTTCTCCTAGGTCATCGTCCTTCCTGTCCTTCCCAGGAAGGTGGACAGGTCACTAGAAGACATCTCCTTCATTTTGGCAACTGTAGGTCAAGACTCGCCGAACACACACTCTCTTTAGCAATCTTGAGGTGTCTCACGTTGGCCTCCGCGAAAGTTTAGGAAGGTGCAGCGACATTACTGTCGTTGCGCGGCTTCTTCAACATTCTTGGGGTTCCCTCCGTGGAGGTGCACAAGTAAGGGAGCTTTCCTGCAGGGGCAGCCACTTCCTTGCCTTTATTCAAGGGGAAGCTCTTGGCGCCCACTGCAGAAAGTGCCCTTGCTGTTGGAGGTGGAGTGGGGTAGGAGAAGGGTGCACTTATAGTTGCTGCCAGTCCTGCCCCCTTCGCTCTCTTTTTTCTTTTGGCCTCGGCGCCGCAAATGCGCTTACACCTTGACCTGATTACAATGACCAGACTTGACCAGAGCCCCACATTACCAGAGGTAGGCTGATTACAATGAGGTTTCCCCCAGTTTCCCAAGGGGATCCTTCGTAACCACATATCACCTTGCGGCCATTCAGCTATCGGCACGATTCCTTACACCTTAGCTTGGGTAGGCTGGTCCACGGTGGCATGTTTTACAAAGGCTTTTGGGGAGTTTCAGTTCCCCTCTCACTACTTATTTCTGCCACTGACCAGAAGTCCAGCGATCCCGTCCGTAAGGCCACATTTACTTCCCGGACAGGGCCTCCAGTCCCCTGGCCGTTTCCCTATCCGCCACCTGGAGACGCGCCCGATAGGTATATCAACCCACCCTATATATTATTTCCGAAAGTTAAGATTCCCAAAAATCATAGTGATGTTGACTAAATATTCCTAAGAAAAATCCACTTAATTGGTGTAGACATACGGGTGGTGAATC